AGCATGATCAGTCTTGAACAAGGCCCTTCCAGTTCTGTTGGGAGTTTTCCAAAGACACTTTGTAAACCCCTAAGCTGAGCAGGATGTGTGACTCGCTCACTGTTCCTCAGGGACTGAATACTCAGTAATAGCCAGAATAACTTGAAATATTAAATTAGATGAATGAGAAGGCAAAAAAAAAAAAAAACTAATAAAAGATAGTTTGGAAACCAGTTGCTACATCTGAAATCAATGCAAAAAAAGAAATAATAGTATTTATAAACTTAAAGGTAAGAAGAAACTTGATGCTGGATATGGATTAGGTGCCAGCCCAATTGCAGTTTACTTGGTTTAGGGGTTCTTTTTATACCTTAATTTTTTGAAATTATTTCTTCTTTCTGGATAAGTGTGCATTCATGCATATGTGAGTGTACATATAGACAAGCTGTCCCCCCTTTCAAAAGGAACATTTAACTTTTTCCTCAATTTATATAGGAATTACACTAACAGTAAGGCATACATGATTTGGGGAAAATATGTTCAGCTGTTTACTCATTACTCTCAGTTAAAGTAACCACAGAGGCAGTGTGGGTTTCAGAATGTGGCTTGAAATACATGGACTTCTTAATTTTGTTAGATAGTTAAACAGTACTCTTTCTGAGCTTTTCCACAAAAATCTTATAAAATTAAGTGTGTTAGTCCCCACATTATGCCTCACTAAATTAAAGTCTACAGTTCAGAAGAGGACAAGCAATTAGGCTGTAGTTTGCAGTTTATGAAGACCAAGGAAGACAAACACTACAGTACAGACTATTCAGTCCCTCTGAACAAAGAATTTTTGCTGGAACAAAACTCACAGAAGGGAAGCCAGGGAGCTTATTTAGCTGCATACACCACATGTGCAAAGAGTAAGACAACGCTTTCCACAAGAGGGTGGCCATGAAGTTGTCACTTGCTCTGTTTTTCATATCCATAACATACTTTAGGAACATTTCCGCATTCTCTGAGATGGAAACACAAAAGGACCTTACAAGCAGTTGCAATAAAAGAATAAGAGCTGGTTTCCAGGTTGGGAGAATGTTTCCCAGTACAGTGTGTTATTATTATTTTCTTAGTCTTCTTGCGTCTCTATATTCTACAGCATTTAATCATGAAAGAGATAGCAATAACAAACACTGAGAACTATAGAAACTTCCTCACCAAGACTGGATTCTGACCTGCATAACATGCAACAAGGTTAGAAGTTCTTCCTTTGTTTAAAAGCAGTGATCATTTTTATACAATTTTATTCAGAATTTTTGCTTTCTGCTCTCAAAAGCTTTAATTTTTGGTGTGTTTTTCTTTTTAATTCTGTCCTCATGATGATGAATTAAAAAGGTTCTCCTTTTTACAAAAAACAACAAAAAACAACACCACAAGCTATGACTCTCTGTGTATTTTTCAGAAGTTGCACTGGCTATTCCAAAGATGACAAGAAATGAGATGAGGATAAGGCAAGAAATAGCAGAAAGAGAGGAAAAGATATTTAAGAAAACCAACATATAATGAAAATCGTATGGAAAGGTGAAGGAACGGATGGCCATGGTTCAAGCAAGGAATCTCAGAGTGGAAGCAGCAGGAAGGTTCGAATGAAGAGGTGGAAAAACAGCTGAAAATAAACGTCAATGACGGAAGGGAAGACAGTCAGCAAGGAGTCAGAGGGAGGAAGGATAAAGACAGATGATACAATACATAACAGAGCTAAGCGCAAACAGCAGGTAATGTGTAAAGAAAAAAAAACGTAGAATTTGCACATGTCGCGTAGTTAGGATCACATCTGGCCAAATGCAGTGACTCACCTTCCCTCTCACTGGCTATTGGAAAGCCTGATAGTGCATGAGCTTGGTAGCAGATGACAGATTTTAATTCTTTGAGTAATCGTGGGCCATTTCTCAAGAGACCTGGCAAATAATTTCTCAAGGAACTTTAACTACCCTGACAGAAATCTGACTTCTGCCAATAACTGCGGGACTGATCTGGAGAAAAAGCTGTTTATTGCCTCCCCTCCATGTTTCTTAAGAGAGATGTTTCGTCTGCCACAAGAACAACCTTCTGACCCCAGGGTAACTGATCAGATGTGGAGAACAAGGATAGACAGAGATATTCTGCCGTACTAGAAAATTTCATGCCTCCAGTCTGTCTGCTCAAACAGAGCACCTCTGAATCAGCACATGATTAAAGCAAGGTGGAAGAAACCAGGAAAAATGCTGTAGAGCAGAAAGCTATTTGGAGACGGAGGGAGACTAAATAATTTAAAAAAAAAATTAAAAAAAATTCCCCATAAGAGTATTTTCAGTGTTTGCAAAACATGGCAAGACAACAGATTTATCAGTGAGTAATTAGCATCTATAAAACAGGAGAGTTGGGAAACAGTTCCTTTAATTTTATAGGCCTCTGTAGTCAACTGACTGACCACTGGGCTAGCCTAGACATTAATTTAATCAAGTCCCCCAAAGGGATGTTCGTACTTACTCTGCAAAGGTCTTGTGATGTTTAGCGGTACAACCATGCAGCATTTTTTTGTGTGTTAAGTGCTACATGCTGATGATAACTATCAGTTCCCTCACAGGCCCTAGGGTCTGGTTTGTATCAAAGGATACAGGGTAGATGTACACAGGTTATTTATAATATATTACGCGAGCATTATTGTCTTTGGTAAGATAATGATGTACATTTGGAAGAGGAATGCTCATACTTTAACCCTGACACAAAACAGCCACAGGTGTCAATTAGATACCCCTTTCTCTTCGTATTCAAAATCTGCCTGGCACCGTTCTAACTCTACACTACTGGTTTCTTACTCTCCAGTTAAAGGTTTTGTTGGCTGAATTCCTTCTGGCTTCTCATTCGCAACCGCTCTAACCACCAATATGCCACCAAACATGCAGCTTGTCTTCCTAGCATATTAAAATATCTGCAAACCTGGTGCAAGCCATGCACACCCAGACCCTAGTGTGTACACTGGACAAGAATCAAACCAAGGTCTCATACGCTAACCACCAAGAGCGTTCACAGCGGTTATCCCATTGTCATTATGGTCTTAAAGACAGATATCGTATGCTCAGCTTGCTTCAGCCAAAATACTCAGCCAAAAATGGTATGAAAAACTACTCACTGTGGCACTACAGAAGAATTCCAGACATCCATTTTTAATTGTTCATAACTTTGTGAAATTATTTACTTTGGGTTTGAAGTTCTCTATGCTTTGTTTCAGACCGGAGGCAAGGGCTCGTTTGCTTTTAGCTTAAAGAAAAGCAGTGTTAGGGTGACATTTGCAGTAGATTGGTATATTGCTTTCCTATGTTAAATTGAATTCATCACTGGAAAAATGAGATGGAATTGACAGAAGGCATGGAGAAGTATTTTAAAGCATTTTTCTAGATTTTTAAAGAAAAATTTAAAAAATGAAACTTGAACATACATGAATAAAATACGTACAGTAAAAATACCAGGATTAATAGCCAAAGGACAATCCAAAAATATTGAAAACAGATCTACTGTGTTAAAAGGAAGGCCCAGAACTCTGTTAAAAGAAACCACTGAGTAAATACGATTGACTAAAATGATAAAACAATTAAAAAACAAAACAAAACCTGGCACGAACGCGCAGAATTGGTTTGTGATGTACTGCACAAAATAAACAAGCAACTACTACTTTTTACACACGCAGTCACAAGTGCACGCTTGCCAGGGCATCCGAGTACAGTGCAGTAACATTCAAGCTAACCAGTAATGCTACTAGCACGCTCGCAGCTGACGCAGAGAGTTACCTACCGCGACCGGCGGCCTCGGCACTGCCGCTCTGGCCTCCATAGGCGCGCACGCACCGTTCACGAAGGGCCGTTTCGTATACGCCCCACACAAACAGCGAGCTGAACCAAAGCAGAAACAGGTCCCTACTCGAAGCCTGGAAGGACTTTCTGTGCCTTCAGCGCAGCACAAAGCAAAACACTCGCTTGCTATACAAATACAGGATTTATTAAAAAAAAAAAAGTAAAGTTTGAGAGAGGAAAAGAAACAGGTAATGTCTTACCCAGAAAGTCACTTGAGCAATATGAAGTAAGGAATGAAGTTGGCTGGGACTTAGAAGGGGTATGGGGAAAGCAACTGGGAGATAGGGATGGTGTTGAAGAAATACCGGTCAGAACAACAGGAGAGATGCAAACGTTATCAAAGAACTTCTTTTAACCCAGAGAGTGAAGAACTGACAGTAAGATTTTTACAGCAAGGAAACACCATAA